TATTCTATTCTATTCTATTCTATTCTATTCTATTCTATTCTATTCTATAACAATAAAAATGGGATTAAAATATCCAATTGATAGGTATGGGAGATGAAAGAATGGAAAAATAGGCAACAGTTTTTCGTATCACAGATTTTATCAAAAGCATGGTTTCCTGTAATTAGCCATATTAATGGCATTTTTTTCTTATGAAGATAAATATCTTTAATAGCAAGGTTACTTTTTTCTAAGTCAACTTCTAGTTTGAAATCCATGTACTTGGGAGTATATTTCACTAAACTTAGTTTTTTTTTATTAATATGTTTGTTTATGCAAATATGTGGATGACACTGCAAATCATTTGTGAAGCTGCTAATCTTGTAAGCATTTTGTTATTCTGACCTTTCCTACAGAACTTTCAACAGTTTCCCATGAGAGGGGGCTTGTAAAAATGGTGTTTAATAATTATGAACCCCTAGAGCCATGGTCGTTATACTAGGGGGTACCCTTATGTGTTCTGCTAGCATCTTGTATTTCTCCATTTATGTGGACCACAGAATCATCACTGCAATTTTTTAAAGCCATGACATAACCAGATTGATGAAACATTGCTTTTGGTTGACATCATGCATATATGGCTATGCCTGTTAGAATATCAACATTAGTCAGGAATTAATTTTTTTTTAATCTCATAAGATTACAAAATCTCATGAAAGTTCTGTTATGAAAGTCACAGAGTTCTGTTCTGCAGTCCTGCGAGAATGTAGCTGAGAACACCAAATCTTGACAGAATTTCTAATATTATAGGATTTTGGCTATTAAAATGGTTATTTTATTTCATGTGAGTTCACGTTAAGGATAATCTACAGTATTTTTGTGCATTTACCAGGCACCTGGGATTACAAAGTTTTATGGCCCTCTGGTAGATCTATAATTTTTGGGATTTCTTTCTTGAATTTTAACAAGTGGGAAAGTTTGTACCAGAGGCATCACATGGGAATGTTGTACAGCAAGGGTGAGAATTTCATAATCTATCAGGAGATTCATGATAGTAGAAAATGGGACTGATATTATTGGCAGGTGGAGCCAGGTGGCTGTTGCCTTTTTGTGACCCACCCCTCTCACTTTTCTCCCCTCCCTGTTCAGCAGGCTGGTCAGGGAGGGGAGAAATTAGGCTAAGGGTCCAAGGTTACACATCTCTGTATCAGACGCTTCTATGAAGCAATGACAGGTGTGCTCACTGGCTTGGCCTGTTGTGAAAACATTTTGGTTGGCAAACGGCTGTATAATTTCATGAGATCTGACCTGAATTTGCCTTCAATATATACTTACTTTGTAGAAGCATTAAAGCAATCCATTTAAATGAAAGGAATTCATCTGAGAAAATATGTAACTCATTGTAAGAGTTTATTAATTTAAAGCTGGCTCTTTTTTTTCCTTCAGGAAAATGTTTCATTCAGAATTGAGCTTAAGCAAGCAAGAAATCTCAAGCATAATACAAAGTTGGGAAAAACCTGATGATTACTAGTATAAGAATCTCAATCAGGTTTATTCATCATTTTAAACAGTATCTTGAAGTGTCAATGGAGAAAAAATTCTCACAAGAGATCTGGGGTTGGTGTAAACTAAGGCTACCAATGGAGATACTACTCTTAAGGTACTTATTTGGCTTAGAAAAATTATCCTCCTATGTGTATCTCATGTGGCCCATCTGTATGTGGGGTGTGGGGGGGAGGTAACATACATGGTCATTAAACTACAGATCATACGTTGAAGATACTTCTGGAGGGAACTAAAGGGAACTAAAGATACAATTAAATGAGAAGAACACTTAAATTTGATTTATACAGAATGGAGCAAAATATTTGACATATTGAAGAATATTCTTGAACAGTAGACACAGAGGTTAAGTTCAAAAGTGTCTTCCTCTAAATATAGACTATGTTTAAAAGATGTTATGGAAAGGAACAGGTTCTACTGGACAACGCTGAAGCTGATCTGAAAGTAGATTTAAAAATGACAAGCTACAGGAATGATATAGAAAAAGATGCTACACTGGACAT